GTATGTAGATACATAATTTCAAAGCGTTAACAATAAAAATCTCTAATGTGTTAAAACAAACAAGATTACGAAATAAAGTAAGGCATAGACGCATAGATGAAAAAATTGGTAAATTTTAGCTTGGAATTTCTTTCAGAAACAGTAATATGCAAACGTGTACCTGTGTAGACCTTAATTATTATCTAACTAACCTTACGTAAAAACGGTAATTCCAAATACGAATTTAGTTACTTGACGAATGATAGACTTTATTTAAAATTTTTAAAAGTGAAAATTTCAGGGCAACAATAATTTAGAAATTACTGGAAATGTTGCATATTAATCACCACTAAGTAGCGCAAATATTTTCTAATTTGACGGAATTCCCGCCTCTTATCAGTACCGAGATATCAGTAGTGGGAAATAAAAGATTCCTTTGAAATAATAGTTGGAACTCTCGCTATATGCTAACATCTGAATAAATGTTATTAAAAAGAAAATAAATCTTGGTATATCAAGGTGAATAAAATTTTTCCTGACTTGTCCCGTTTGATAATTATTTCCAATTTTTGTAAAATATTATTGAGAAATTTTTAAATAGAAATTAAATTCTGAACTGTCGTTTTCCAAAATTCACTTGCGTTAATTTAAAATCGGAAAATAAAAACAATGTTATCGAATTGTTAGCCTTTCATAAGAAAATCAAATGATTTTCTCTCGGCTAACGTTTCGTTACAAAAAACCTCAATCGTGTTTTCAGCATTTGTGTGCAGATTCTGTATTTTGTAAATGTGCTTTGTATAAAATCAGTGGAATGCCAATGGTTAAATGATAACGGATAACGTATTAATTAATAGTATAATAAACAAAAACAGTAAGTTCACGGTATATCGACCACAAAGTTGGATTCGCTATCCATAAGTTTTCCACTGAATGTATAGCTTATCCTTTATTCACAGTCGTGTGCCGGGGTTGCCTATATAAAAGCAGCGTCTGAAGGATATCATGTAGTTGTCATAAAATTCAGAAACTGAATCCGCAACGATGAAAAAAAGTTAATCTGATCTTATGAAACAAAATACAAAATTTAGTTTTTATTAATTAGTGATCACGAGGTAGAAAGGAATCATTAGAAGGTGTTAAAATTTGAAATAATTTCAGGTGTGACTATATATAATATTTACAACCATCTAAATATTTGCTAAAGCACTAAAAACTAAAACAATAATAACAAATTTAAAATCAAAACGTAGAGACAAACACTCTTGAAACTATTAAGTCCTTTGTTGTGAACAAAAGCGTATTAATATATTTGTGGCAGCGCCATATTTTAGGCAGTTACAAAGTTTTCGGATGAAATTGCGTGGAAAAGAAACACCATAAACATTGTATAAGTGAATGATGATTGAGGGTAATGGTGAAGAGTGGAGCCGACCGAAACCAACGACTCTCTTGCGGAAAATACAGAAATAATCTAATTTATGAAGTTAGGGTAGCCGATATTTCATCCCGATGATATCCAGAGATTCCCACTTTATAATATCTTTCCTTCCTAGTTATTTCTTTCGTGAACTACGCCATAAGTTAACATCTGACGAATGCTGATCCTCTCCGCGAATGACACGAAAATAATTCAATCTTTGAGTCGGAAGGGAAAAAAGCGTTGTGATGAAATACTAAAAGTCTTGTTGGACTTTTGACAAGCCACTTCCTCGCAGGCAGGTGTCATATATTTCCGGCCTGTTAATTGAAAACAGCAAATAAAATTATACAACTATTATGTTATTACGTGTCCAGAAATAATGAAATACGAGGTGCTAATTGGACGTTGTCTCGTTTGTAAGATCCAATATGCCGTACCCGCCCTCCGGATTTTAAACCTTAGTGTTGCCACCACTGACAGCTCATTGTACTAAAATCATCAAGTCATGGTGTAGCTTTTTTCAACGTATACTCGTTCAATAGTCTTCTTTTTCTCGCTTCGACATTCTGCTTAGTAATTTCATCGGCTCGAATATGAATGAATTTTACTTTTATTATGCGATCCTCAAATAAGCGGTTATTTTATTTGGACTGTAACCAACTTCTCTGTGCTGCTTTATGAGCTAACGTAGTCGTTTGTCCATGAATGAAAAATTGAAATAATCAACTATCAAGACCATAATTTCGCTTTATTTCCTCACTTAAGCCTTCAGCTCTTAGAGCTAAATCAAACCCAAGTCAACTCCTACACACAATTTATTTTAAAACGGACACCGATTGTATATTATATTACATATAAATACTAAATTCTAGACAAGACCAGTTGTTAAAAAGATGAACCTTAAAAACTGACAAAAAATACAAAATCTGGGTTGCTGTTATAACACTCCGAATAACTACGTTTTAGTGATTTTTCAGTGACATGTTTTTAAAAGTGGGTGCCAGATATTTATAAAATAGGATAGGAGAGTTTCCCTGTCTGTGAGCTTTCTCCGCGTTTCAGCAGTTAATTAATGCCTACAAACTTTTCAGCGTTGTTGGCTGCTGAAACAACACGATGCAAATTGCAATAAAAACGAATTAAAGTTAATGCGCCATTTATATACAATTCTCCAGTGAACGCTACGACATAACATCTTATTCTGGCGTCTTGAAACACTGCTTTATATGAAAACGACTGAAAAAATTGGCGCTCGCTTTCGAAGAACATTAGCATTTAGTGTTATTGCTCGCCATCTCCGATAATTTCCAGTAGTTATAAAATTAACATGAGAGATAACAGTTTGTGTCAGATTAGTGTTATGATGTATGGTTGTCTTGTTTTATAACATAATGGTTTACTATCATGGCGTGATATTGGTTTACATATTGTTAGCTACTCGTGTAACACAATATTTGCCATCGTGTATACTTCAAAAGCTAAGTGTCTATTAGTAACAGCTACTTCTTCTAACAAGTGTGCTTTTCTCACCGATATCGCTTATATACAAACACGGTGCTATAAAATAATATAATTTAACACCAAATATTTCTTCAGTTAATTGACTCAATTTGTTGTATCAAGTTTCTCAATCGATTTTCGTATTCTGGTATAGGCGTTGTTTTTGTTTGGTTTACTTCTTTAAGTAAATTCTGTTCGTTAAGCGGATATTTTTTTAATCGTTAATGCGATTTTTTTGTTTAAAATTACCTAATCAGTATGAGGTAGGTAATTTTTTCGTCTAATCAGAAAGTTATGTTTTATTATTCAAACAAAAGTATTACATTTAACGCTTCTTTAATACAAAATTTATTGAATCTTACCTAATGAAGTCTAAATACCCTTTATTTGTTAATACGTCTTTTTTCTTTTGGGTTTTTATTTTATTTTCCGAAATTTTTATACCATACCATCAAGGCGTTTTTTTTTTACTTCGGAAAACGTGCTTGCAAAATTTGAAAAAAAGTGATGCCAACTAAATTTCCTCCTACTGGTTTTTGTCGACCAAAATGTGGCCGTCAAAGTGTTTTTTTTTTTTATATTTAAACTTTTTTCCAAAGAAATGGTCACTTTTGACGTTTTTGTGTAAAAAAATATATGTTTATGTTTAACTGAAACAATTTAAATACTATCTACTTGTTACAAGAAAAGTAAATAGATTTTTCTCAGTTTTTTTTAAATTGTATCAAATAATATACTGCTGTACTTGTGGCATATGAATTCGCCTTGATTTTTTGGTATAGGTTTTTCCTAAAAAATAAAAGTTGTATAACAACATTTTATGCATATAAAGGATTCAGTTGCGAGTTCAATCTCCTCATAACCTATTTTTTCTTCCACTGTGACTGGTATTGTCAACATCTTGTTAACTTATATATCGTAAAAAAATTAAAAATCTCTAAAATAAAATTTTATAATTTTTCGAAGGACTGTATTTCAGGGGCGAAGGAACGTTCGACCAGTTTGAAAAAACTATTCCTTTATATTTTCAGTGTTTCATACCTTCAATGTGGCCTGAATAGATCGAAGAATTTGAAAACAAACAATGCATAATTAAGAACTATTTTGATAAACTTGTTAACACGACATGTTTCTTTTACTAGTTCCTTCTAAAATAATACCTGCAATGAGGTCAATCGAGTATGGGTAAATCATTTATATGATAAATTTGTTTTGTAGTTTTTTCCTTGTTATCAATTACGATCTTTAAAATTTTGAGACCTTCCACATTTAAATTAACATTTTATCAATATGAACGGTCCACTTTTGGTGGCAGCAGAAATTATTTAAAAAAAAATAGATTCAAGGGGCAGTAGATATCACAGGATTGCTTGAATAAAATTCCGAACGTAAGTGCTTCAAAAATTGCACTATTTAAAAATTAAGGATATCTTAAAATATCAATTTGTAAATAAAATACTTGAGCACATACACAGTGAAAGACTGTGGTTTTACACACGACCAAATTAAAATTATTTCGTATCGTGTGGTAGTTTATCGGTTGCTAATAATGATGATTCAAGTTTGTTTATGTGGAAATGATGTTATCACTAAATGCGTGCCGTGTGCAAAATTGACAATTCATATTTCCGTGTGAGTTATGTGATCAGGGAATATGCTAATATGAATAATAAATTGATCTGTGTATTATTGTTATTATTATTATTGTAAATAAAGAATTGATCTGGGCATAACTTAATTACAAACAGTTGCTACATTTTTTTACAGTTAAAATTACAGTTAGTAAAGCAAGTAGTTATGACATCTTACAAACACAGCGATTTTCAGCAATACTGCTGAAGTTGACCGAGCATTCTCAAAAATTTGCATAAATAAAGTATAAAATAGGAGTATATATTATAATTTTTTACATTTAACATAAGATTACTCGTAGTTTAATAAATGCATTATTCACTAGCTATGAAAATAAATCAGGATTATTTGCAATTGAGATCAGAATTACGCTAACAATTACTGCATGCAAAAATAACCTATAGTTGCATTTTTGGTTGCAGGACTTTCGTTTCGAGATTTTGCACACCGATTGCACACGGCGTGAAAACTATGTATAAGTACTCGGCAAACGCTCACTACAACACATACAGCGACTAGTAAGCCATCTACAAGGTTGAACCAAAACTACTAGAACTCCACCGCTCCTACAGAGGTAAGTCAATTTTGAATATTTTATCCCTAATAAAAATATATTTAATGAATTTATTACTCTAGAAGATGGACAGCAAAACCCAAAAACAGTGTTCCTGCTGCGAACCAACCTGTGCATGTGCATGCTGCAAAGGACAAAAAGACTCGGACAACTGCTGCTCAAAAGACTGCAAATGTACTTGCTGCAAATCCGGCAGCGGTTGCTGTAAGGATCAAAAGGCATGTCGTTGTGCAGCATCTGGTTGTAAATGTTGCCAAGAAGAGTGTAAAGACGCCGGCTGCTGCAAGAACTCGGGCAACTGCAAGGACTGTAGCTGTTGTAAAAAGTTTGGTTGCTGTAAAGAAGGTGAGGCATGCCGTTGTGCAGCATCTGGTTGTAAATGTTGCCAAGAAGAGTGTAAAGACCCCGAATGCTGCAGGAACTCGGGCAACTGCAAGGATTGTAGCTGTTGTAAAAAGTTTGGTTGTTGTAAAGAAGGTGAAGCATGCCGTTGTCAAGTAGCTGGTTGTAAATGTTGTCAAGAGGAGTGTAAAGAGGATGGCTGCTGCAAGAATTCTGGTAACTGCAAGGATTGTAACTGTTGTAAAAAGTTTGGTTGTTGCAAGGAAGGTAGTTGCAAGAGTGAGGTATGCAAATGTGGGGCTGGAGGGAGTAAATGTTGCAAAGACGGAAAATGTGCCTGTACTAAAGGTTGTTCTCCTGATTGCTGCAAGGGCTCTGGGAACTGCAAAGAATGTGAGTGTTGCAAGAATCGCAAATGTTGCAAACAGTAACAACACACGAGAAGATTAAATAAAACACTTAGTATTAATAAAAAATGTAATAAGTAATTAATGATGTTTAATTAGTTAGGTTATTAGTGTATTTTTCATTGTATTCTTTATAATACTTGGTTTAAATAAAAAGTTCCTACATGCTATTTTTTCGTCTTTTTTTGTATCAGTATGCAGTATCATCGCATAAAAAGAGAATTTTTAGTGTATACAAGAACTAATAAAAAATACGGAATACAGATGAAAGAAAACATTTTGCTATAAATTTTCTGGAGCTTTATTTCTAGGATTAGCCTTTATTTGAACAATAATTTCTCTCTTTGGTATCAGTTAAACAAGATTTTTTTGATTGAAGTGAAATAACTAGCTTAACTTGGCTGACAATTGTGTTTATTGTATTTTTTGCACATGAACTAAATCAGTTATCAAGATATTACTAAATACTTAAAACTATTTCTTAATTGTAATTTAGACATATTTCCTTTTTTTATTGATGATATGAGCAAATAAAGATAAGGTAAACAAAACCCTAATTTTTATTATTGTAAAATTTTAATTTTGAAAACCCTGAGTTCCTGAATAATACTTAACATAATTGAAGTAAAAATAAAATATATTATCTACATCAAATATACAGGGTGCTGAGAAAATGGCGTACCAACTCTATGACACGTTGTTGAGGACTGTTTATTGAACAGAGAAAAATAATTAAAAAAATTCCTGGGCCTAAATGTAGAAAATATAGCCCTTCAAAATGTAACTTTTATTTTCCATATTTCACCATATCCTAATTCACCTTCACTTAGTGTTGGATACACAGTTTTCTTCATTTTATAATACAACAAAAATTTTCTCGAACTTAGACTTGTGAACTTAATAATGTACCATTGAGTTAGTGGGCAATTTTTTCAGCATCCTGTATAGAGCTTTCGGAATATTAAAGATAGAACAAAAGCGTCAACAGAGCTTTACATGTTTCCTCTTATTTATCTGAAGTTTTGTCTTTCTAGATACTGATATAAACTTTTTTAAATCATGTATTGGTAAAGAAAATACAACGAGGACAGAAAATGGCGAACAGAGAATAAAAAAAAAAATTGCGAAAATTCTTTCTCGTGCTTAATAATACGTATTTGACAGTTTTAAGACTATATTGACAAAACTAATCTTAAAAATAACTTTTCAAAGGAATTCATATGAATATCCACTGTGCTTGAAAAAATAAGATGATTCGCTATACAGGATATTGCATAAACAAAAAGAATGCATTTGAACTTCTCTTGCTTCGGAAGTACGGATCTCAAGATATATTATTTATTTTGTCTGTCTGTCTGTCTGTTTGTCTGTCTGTCTGCAATCTGCCGTTTAACGTCTGTGTCGATATTTATTAAGACAGATTGTCACATTTTATATGTATGTTAGGAATATCGTACATCGTGTGTTCTATTGTGGTTTATGAGTCCGCCTTGATTCTTTACCCTAGGTATCCACAAGTTCGCAAAAGCATCCAAATGCATTATCACATTTTATACCAGTATAACAACACAGACGTGTGGTGAACTCCGTATTATCATGATAACAGCTACTTACCCAGAGTAATATTCAGAACGTTTTGCTTGATTGTAGCTTAATTAATAATTTTAATCACCTTCTTGGTTTAATCGTTGTATTTTGTCAATGAACAATCGAAGTTAAGAATGTACTGATAATAATATATTTATTTATATATTTATATTGTGTTTTAACAGTCCACAAATATTTATACTTTAACCTTTGGAGAATCTCATTGCAAATAAATAAAATGTTCAAAATTAATTTTTATTTTTCCCTGTATTTATGCCGGTGTACTTCAAGGGCGAGGGAAGTTCTATACAAATAACTTTAGACCAAATTTTTTAATTAATTTTGACGTATATTATGCAACATTAAATTTGTGTATCCTCAAAATTTAACGAACATTAAATGACATGTTTTTAAAATAATAATGGACAAATAGATTAGCTTTCACCTTAAAATTTTGAACACACTTGAGTGCTGATTTTTTGAAAATAGAAGTATATATTTTGGAACAAAACATGATTTGTCTATCTAACGGAGTACCATATTTTTACCGAAACAGTATTGTATGGCTATGTACTTAACAACTTGCAATGTTTAAAAGAAAAATTCGTTTCGGTGGTGCTTTCAGAGTTCTGGTGGAGCAAGAATGTATTATAAGGCTAACTTTTAAACTCAAATCTACATAAAAAATAAATAAAAAAAAAGGAGGAATACTGTTCGTTTGGCTTTTTGCTAATAGTAACTACATGTTCAGACCACGAAAGATTTGCATTATCAGAAGGCCCAAGTCTCCATAGCAAGTGGATTTAACTAGTTGTTCAAGACCAAAACAGTAATTTTATATGGGGTTATGGTCTTCTATCTCTAAAATGGTACAGTTTTTATATTTTGAGCTGTCATTGTGAAGCTTGATGTTGTCGGAAAACATCATACAGGAGAATTTTAATCCTTGGACAATGTCAGTAGTAGATACAAGAACAGCAGAAGATCCAGAAGCGACGCTTGCGGTACCCCACAGGAAAACTGAATGGCCAATTTTAATTTTAAAAACACAATCGGTAATAAAACCGTCTATCCAGTGAAGAATTTGCCGTGATGTGTGAGCATACTGGGCATACAGTCAAATACTTTGGAAGAGTCCATATAATTACATTTTCAGACTGACCGCTATAAAAATTTTTTGTCCAATCCGAAAGACAACATCAAATGAGAGACTTTCCAGGGATGTAACTGTGCGGTTGTGGAGATTTAACTTGATGGTTTAATGGAAAATTTATCATGTTGTTATACAGGGTGACCCAAATTAAACGAAACAGACCGTAGGTACTGTACTTGATTATGTGAAAAATTCTCGAACAGGTCGATTTTTGGTTCAAGGGGGACGTATAACGTTACTATTTTCGTTGTTTAGTAGTACTTATTAAGATAAGACTGATTTTGGCAAAGGACATATCCTCTGAGAAAATAGGGGGCGGGTGGGCGGGCCTAGTACTTGGTAAGATAAGACTGATTTTGGCAAAGGACATATCCTCTGAGAAAATAGGGGGCGGGTGGGCGGGCCTAGTATTTGGTAAGATAAGACTGATTTTGGCAAATGACATATCCTTTGAGGAAATAGGGGGCGGGTGGGCGGCCCTAGTACTTGGTAAGATAAAACTGATTTTTCCCCTATTAATCTTGTAAAAAACTTGTGAAATTTAAAAGTGTTAAATTGCAAATTTCCATAGTAATGAGTTAAATTTCTAAATCTACCCGAAATGTGCAAAATATGACCAGTTTTTACTTGTGATTTATCATTGCATTCATATTTTTTAAATTTGCTTATACAGTGGCTCAAAAAAAAATGAATATGTCAGTTTATGTTATTGATTAAATCAGGAACGGCTCACTACATTTTTCCACATAATTTTCGGAAATACAATATTGTTATTTTTAGTTTTACAGTGTACCAATCCAAGTTGATATAGGTGTCTTTGCAAAAATGTTGATGACGTCATCACAAAATTCCGTAAATTAAAAGCTCAACTCAAGAATGCTGGATATATTTCACTGTATTTTAGGTACGAGGGAAGTTCAATCGAAATAGCTTTCGATGAATTTTTTTAATACAACACATTTTTCACACATACAAGATGTTACAATTACAAATGTTATAAATATACCTAAAAAACAATAGGTCTCCCGTTTCCGTTCGTCTTTCTGTCTGTCTGTCGTCTATCTGGATTTTTGAAAAATTATCTCCGAAACTATTTAACCAATTGTCATATTTTATATGTTCATTACGAATATCGTGTAAGTGTAGATGGTAAAGCGCTAATCAAAATTTGGCTAATCATGCCTACCAACTTGTTGACGTCATTTCCAAAATTTATAGTAGTAAATTTTATTTAATTTTATAAAATAAGATACTCCCGCACTTGTAGTGCAAAATTTTGCAAACTTTTTAAGGTCATCGGAAGCATGGTAAATCGTCAATGATTTTTTCCTTTTATGCCCCTCTAAAACAATAATCACATCATTTCACAATTTTGCCGAAAAAATGTTCTTTAATTTATATTAACCAAACATAAAGGTCAATTTTTATTGTTAAGTTTTTTAACATTTCACTCCATTTTTAACGAGGGGCGGCTATCAAGTCAAAAATCTTAAATGGCGCAATGGGTCAGAAGGCATCTTGTTTGGAAGTCCTATTACCTACTACCTGTTTGAGCATTTTGACACAATCAAGTAGAACGTCTACGGTCCCGTCTGCTTTGTTTTATTTGGGCCACCCTGCATATGACGGACTCCATTATTTTAACAACCAAAGACGTTAGACTATAGTTTTCTGGGTCAAATTTATCGCCGTTTTTGAAAATAGGTTTAACGATTGCAGTTTTTTAGTGTGGAGGAATTTCACCTGAATTAAAGTGAAAAGAGTACTTAAAGGCCAAGGACATAACCCGTTCTTTAGTTTGCTCAATTTACCATGAACTTAGAAAAGTCTATGAAAATCAGGGTTTCAGTCCAAGTTGGAGTTTTTATTTTAACATCTCTGCTAAGAAGACCTACGATAAAAATTTTAGAAAAAATATTAGTAAATTCATCGGCTAAAGTACAAAATAAAATAGAAAAACATTTTCTGATTCTGTCTTTATTTAGTGGCTGAAATTTTGAATAACGCTGATTCATTAATTATAATATTAGTGTTATATGTTATTTTCTATATTACTTACATTTTTTTTGACGTTCCCATAAAATTTTATATTGTTTTTAAAAAAATAATTAAATAATTATTTTTTAGACCCATCACTGACCCGCAAATGACCGGCATTCAGGCGATATTTCTATCACTAAGGGCACTAAGACCAAGTAAAGGTAGAAACTGTTGATTATTTCGAAATCTATAAGAAAATGTCTGTCAAATACAGTGTGACGAAAAATAAACTTTACGTTTGTTTTATGTTTTGTGTTCTGCTTTTGAAGTGCGCATTCGTGTGTAAAGCTGATGGTATTATTCTATAGCATAGAATACCATTGCTACAAAAAAGCTAAAGTCGTAGATGGATGTAGAGAATGTCTTTCCATTGGTTCTGACCAGAACTGT